GGTTATTATTGCTTTAAACACTACTTTAGGTGACACGTACATAACAGCATGAGATAATTTGCTTTCAGTTATATGTCAACGTTTTTCTCTATATGGGTGGAAATAATAAAATCCCCTTGTAACAATGTCACGACAGGTAGCGATGCAGGTTGACATTCTCTCCTATGTACACAATGTAACTACAATTAGTGCCAACTGTAATTGTACTTTCTCCCAATACCAAGCAAAGACAGTGCGTGTTAAAGTAAATGTATACCGGAAATTTCCCCATAATATAGTTGCTTTCATCTACCTTTAAATAGCGCGTCTAATATAACTCGACACTGGTGACGACGGTAACGAAAGGATTATCGGATATTCCTCTGATAAATGCAATGATGATACACGTATTTAAAATCGGTTTAGCATCTTACTGGCACGTTGAAATTAAATTTACCCTTTGTCAGTCGGGGGAGAACATAGTTATCAAACTGCTGTGAAATAGGGGCGTGTTACCTTGCCAGAACCTATCTAACTTTTCAATATCTTGGCTCACTATCGAGGAGCACGATTTCATTTATTTTGAGTAAGTGGCAAATGAAGCTGCGTTCAATAAATAAAAAAAAAAAATAAATAAATAATAAGACTAATAAGTAAATAAAGTTTAATAGGATATTTGCACTGGATTAAACCCACCGCTTTTTAAACATGATGGAAGGGCCATTTCACGAATCATATTTTACTCCCCATAAGACATCTTGTCAGTTCCATTTATATTCCTGTGAGTTTACTTAAATAGTGCAATTGCCCATTTCTATCTTCTCTTCTTTATTGGGTGCGAAGAGAAAAAATATCTTGCAACGGACCCGTAAGATAAGTTAGAACATTATAAACACGTAATACCCAGATTATTTTCTGCTGAGCAAATCTTCCCTTAAGCCAGAACAGATTTCAGAACAGTGAACTAGTGAACATCAATATATCAATACGTGCTGGTAAAGCGGTGAACTTATCCGTCACCTGTAGAATGTATGTATGTACTCGCGTAAATGCAGTGCGTATGTGCTATCACCTTTTGACAAATGCACGCTATAGGGTACGTGTTTCTGTTAACTCGTACCAATCCTGACAATTAAGTATGGGGGATGGCATGAGCTATGAGCAAACATGTCACCATCTTGTCACCGTCAAATAGCTAGGAGACATAATGTTATTCGGTGATTCAAAATGAAGTTGAAAAGTGTGTTTGTGTGTGTGTGTGTGTGAGAGAGAGAGAGAGAGAGAGAGAGAGAGAGAGAGATGCGTGGAACGCCACTTGCACCTCGAATCAGGAACCCGAACACTCCATGACCACCTTCGTTATAAATATGACATAAAAAAGTTACATCGTTAACGCTTCTTGCCAATGAATTCGAAATTAATCGCGACCAGACACCTCGTGCCAATAATATATGCCTTTGCTTCAAGTATTTTAGGCAAATGCAAGATGTCTTTAATGAAAACAGCCAAACGCCATATAATAAAAAAAAACCGTCTTAGAGGAACGTTAAAACGCTCATATAAAGTGAATAACGCTTGCAAAATTAGGAAAGCTTTGCTGATGGCAGCGCACGTTAGCACTTTTTACAGCGGTCAACAACCGTTTCATATGTAGGTTAAGGATGTGTCCGGGGAGATTTTAAGACGAGTTCTGTCTACATAAAGGCAGATTTCCCCTAGAGGTCCACCTTAACGGCCAGTAATGTCAGCGCACACTGTGCCTCAGTCACATTCAGAATAGCAATTGGAAACGGAGTCGGGAAGTTTTACGAAATTAACAAAATTTTGCACTCAGTTTAGTTATGCGTTAGAAAAACGATAACGTAAACATTACTGGCATTTCTCACCTTGAAGTAAACCTCATCTGGTGATATGACACCAATAACACGCACCTGTGAGGTTCACCAGACTTTTAAACCTCGGCATAAGAAACGGCTTCAGCAACCAAAGGGACTTCATAAAACACCTTTTTTCAGTTAGTATCATAGTGCAAACTGACATTACCATGTAAATAAAGCTGGCGATTCTTGGCTTGAAATGTGTACCTCACCGGTGGCGTGTAATAAACAACACGAGAATTTGGCGGTCAGCATCACTTACGGCTTCACTTTGATGTCTTAGAGTAGTTCTGAGCATGAAACACTCAGAGGAGGGCAGTAACTATTGAGCAACAGTCCTACTGAGATTTGACTGTAGGGAAACCGGTTTTCTTTTCCGTATTGAAAGCACCAAAGTAAAAATCCATTTGTGCACGCAGTGACGATTCACAAACATACATACATGCACACACACGGGACATTGTTTCCCCTATTCATATGTTTGGTTGCTCTTGGTTATCAGTCCACTGGTTAAAAATATGTAATTTTATAATCGTTGGCGGCCATTTTGAAAACCGGAACAAGCAAGGGAATAGAATTTGGCGCAACTCTTAAGATAAATCCTAGTTTCATATTCATTACATTAAAGCAAATAAAGAAGATGTTTTACAATGAATTATGGAACACATCTCTTGTTAGGAAACATAGTGTAAAAGCCATGATTTGTGGTGGTCATCTCGAATTTCAGGGTTTTACATCAAAACAGATATAAATGTAAATCAATTACCAAACACAGTCACCGGGGATTTGCTGCAAATACATCAAAATAATGAACATTTCTCAAATTTCCAAATTAATTTTTAAAAGGTACGGATAACAAAAGGACGCAAAAAGCAGCAAAATCGGCCGCCAATTTTGGAATTTTTGGATAATCATAAATCAAAGAGCATATACTAATTTTTTTAAACACACGAAAAAGGTTATTTTCCATTTAGATAGTACATTTGAAATACATGACATTTTCACGGTCTGAAATTTCATCACTGCGTTACCATGGCAATGGGTCAGAAAATGACACCCAAAACCCAGGGTCGGATCCAGAGATATTTTCTGACAGTCTTCCAAATTATCTTTATTGATCCAACCTCCATTTTTGATCGTCTTCCAACAGAAAAAAATAGATACCCGTCATGGCCTTCAATGTAAACTTGTAAATCTGACCGTCTTCCAGAAGACCCAGAAGACGGCCTAAATCCGCCCCTGCAAAACCAGTTTAAAGGCAAGCAAACAGAAATGACAACCCGGGGTCCACTTAAACAGGAAATAATAGTGGATGAAAGATTCTAATGGGGTGAGGGTTGGTTTCAATTACTGGCCTAATATTGATATTATCGTATCTCTTCTGCATGTATGGTCGGATATACATGGTCGGGTAGAAGAGGCGCCGTGGCATTGTAAAATGTCAGTGACGTAAGTGTCATTTGAAATGGTTATCGAATTTGCGTTTGTCTTCGTTCCTTATTTTAGCTCTATGAAAGAATAAAAGAGGTAATGGATTAATCCAAAGAAATTATCTCCAGAAAGTTTACCGGGCTATCCGAAGCAAACTGCTTAGGGCTTCATTTGCAGGAATCCGAGCCTTTTGTTCAATAAAACGAAAGCTAGTAGCTTCTGATAAACCAAGCGCAGGCACACATATAAGTATTTTAATTTAAAACCCTAACAGACAAAGGTACTACTACCTGGTATCATATTCAGCAGAACAAGAATATTAATTTGCAAATTTAACATCTATCCTAGGTCCAAACAGTTGATAAAGGATGCAATATTGGACAATGACTTCCTAAAAAACCTTGACAAGGCCCAACTGCGAGAGGTGATAGACTGTATGTATGAGAGGACGACGCAGAAGGGACAGTTCATCATCACGGAGGGAGAGGCAGGACAGCACCTGTTCGTTTCCGCGGGTAAGAAAACGGGGTTGGTGTCAGCTTTCCAGTTTCACCGTTTTCACCGTCTACTCAAAAGCAAAATCATGTCTTTGACATTGAAGCAGTGTCTTTCAGAAGGACGGCTAAATTACCCCCCCTATCCCGTAATACCAAAGTGGATGGTTCATGTAAGACTGCCATCGATTTACTTCTATACTTGGTCAACTACTTTACCATACTTTAGACATGTCATGATTGCCTGCTGCACCTGCCAAGAACCACGCTTGTAATTGGCTTGTATTACATGCAGGATATAAATATTCTCAGTTATCTGTCACCAATTAAAATTTACGGGTATTGTGAAACGGAACTTAATCTTCTTCCAGTTATTTGAGGAAATCCCGTGTGCTTGTGAACATGTAACTGCGTGCATAAAATTGCCAAGTGCCATCTTTACCATATCGGCGTAAAACGATAGAAATACTGGTTGTAAAGATTTCTAACACAGCGTATTTGAAACGTGTTGCAGCTATATCAAAATTCAGTAAACTTCAGATTGAGGTTCAGTTTTCATGCATTCTTCGTTGGTTTCAGAGGGGGAATTAAATGTTCTGAAGGATGGACGTTCCCTGGGAACAATGACTGCGGGAAGAGCGTTTGGTGAGCTGGCGATCCTCTACAACTGTACGCGTACGGCGAGCGTCAAAGGTAAGGGTGTGCCGACTTGGTAATTAAGAATTTTATGAAGGCATTTGGGGCGATTTTTGTATGAAGTTAAGTAAGTTGATGTTTGATAGCCTTTCTTTGGCGCTTTAGCACGAAAAATGAGGCATCAGTACTTTTAAGTTTTTTTTTACATTTGTCGTACTTAAAATGCCATAAAATATACTATTGAATTAATAAGGTACAAGTTTATATTTTGTTGAAAGAAAAAGTACATGTATCAGGCGCACGTCCAACAGCCGTTTTATGGAGTATTTTGCACTCATTGTTCACCCCTTTGTCTTAAATTTTGTCGCAGAATTAATATCATTTAATATATAATTTTTTTCTATTTAACCCTATATATTTCTTGCCAAACTATAAGTACAAGGCAGACTGTATTATCCAGCTTTAAAGAATGAAAGGTAACGCAGTGCTGGACTTTATTGATCGTCTGCAACGTAATAAAACTAAAATGTGTATTATGTGGAAACAGTGATAACATGCTAAATGTTTGTATCTAACATTTCTTTTTTAAGCTTTCCTGTAACAGTGTGGATAAATATGAGCCAAATTAATGATTTTGTTTGAGAAAAGACATTGGTGAATGTTGGTAACAAATTACTAAAAAGTTTTCATAATGCCATACGGGCCATTTTTCGCGACGATCTTTAGCCTAATTGCAGATTTGTGAAATTTGTTTTCCAGAATAAAACGAGTTTAGAAAAGCAAAGCAGTTTACATCTTTCCTATATATCAAAGATTTGCATACGTAATTACATGTAACAACCCAATACTTACAGTCCATTTTTTTTCAGCTCTAAGCGACGCTCGACTATGGGTATTGGACAGAAGTGTGTTCCAAGCTATAATGATGAAAACTGGACTACAGCGCCAAGCTGAAAACATCAAATTTCTTCGCAGGTCAGTCTTTATCAAAGACAAAATAAACTATCACCTATTTTCATATAATAGATATTAACCTGACACTCATCCATGTGGTTGAGGCGGCTTTGAGGAAAATGAAAAAATGGGTAAGATTTTTCCATAAGCTCTGATTACTCGTGATTGGATGAAGACATACTTTGTCCTTATAACCACGGTATGAGCTTTTCCATCTTGGTAAGATGGAAAAATTAAACCCTTTTTTCCATGATGAAATGCCCCACAGTACTAATTTTACAAATGTTCACAACACATTGAGTGCATTTATATGTGCTTTATTATTACCCACAAATTAATTTTCGACAGGGGTAAAACGGCCACATTATGCTATTGCATTCACTCTCAGGCCCGTAGCCAGCTATTTGAAAGGGGGGTCTTTTTCTGAAAAAGTGGACCTTTTACCATATAATCCCCATGTACCTAGGTCAAATTTTACCCAGAGTGGACCTTTTTCCAGCAAATAGGGGGGTTCTTTCGAACCCCCGAACCCCCCCTGGCTACGGGCCTGACTCTGAAACATAAAAGTATACCTGCTTGTATCATTAAAATTATGAACTAATGAATAAATAAAAATGTTCACAGATCAAGGATTTGCAAACTATAGGCTAGCACACTTAATTCAACAAACATGCTGATTATCTAATTACTGAATACAGTTGGCACATCTTAATTGCCTGACATAACTGATGTTTAACACTCTCTGACTCTGAAACATAAAAGTATACCTGCTTGTATCATTAAAATTATGAATTAATGAATAAATAAAAATGTTCACAGATCAAGGATTTGCAAACTGTAGGCTAGCACACTTAATTCAACAAACATGCTGATTATCTAATTACTGAATACAGTTGGCACATCTTTATTGCCTGACATAACTGATGTTTAACACTCTCTGCTGCATGCACTCGTTTTTTTTTTTTTCAGAAATAGGAACGTAGGTGATAGTTGAAATTAAATTAGGTAATAAGGTCTTTACAACAGATTGTTTAGTCCACAATTACTGCAGTAATTAATTGAAAACAGAACATAAAAATTAAATAATTAGAATCATCTGCCCACCCTCAAACCCCAAGAGGCTCCATGTATATCTGTGATGATAGGTCTGCCAAAACCCTAAGACTGAACTACCTCACTACAATGGTCCAGGAGGAGAAAGCAGAAATTGCAATGTGTAAAACATTAAGAATCAATAGCCCCCGCTGTGACAGCCCAACCCCAGTTGCACTAAAATTCCGAAGAGCCCATGCACATCTCTGATGATAGGTCTATTAATCCCCGAAGATTCAACTTTCTCACTCTAATGGTCTAGAAGGAGTTAGCAGAAATTACAATATGAAAAGAATTTAGAATAATCAACCACACCTAGGGACAGCCCAACCTCCAGTTGCACTAAAATTCCCAGGTGATAGGTCTCTCAGTACCTAAGGTGTGAATTTCCTCACTCTAATGGTCTAGGTTGAAATACCAGAAATTACAATGTCAAAAAATTAGAATCAACGATCCCCCAGGAACAGCCCAACCCACAGGTGCACAGAAATCCTAAGTGCTCATGCATATCCATGATTACAATATATATAATAATAATGAAGTTTCCTCACTCTTATGGTATTAGAAGAGATGGCAAAAATTACTATGTTAAAAGAATTACGAATCAACCACCACCCAGGGACAGGCCCACCCCCTGTTGCACTAAAAATCAAATCAGTTTATTCTGGGTCTATCAAAAAAATTTTAAACAAAAGTCTCCAAAATTGTAACATATCACCAGACAGAAACTTACCACAAACTCACAAACAAACTCACAAATGAATTACACTTTCAAGAGCATTACACTTTCAAAATGTTTTTCGCAAGTAATAAATAAAACAAATGAAAAAAAAAAAAATAGAAGGGACTGGGAAAAAGATCATCCTTGTTAGGTACACATCAGTTCTTGAGTTCTACATTATGTAACAGGATGTGCTGACAGATTTCAATGAATCACAGCAAAATAAGACAAATTACATGACAAATGCTTCCTAACAATAATGTTATCAGGTACCTTTTTGACAGACACCTCTCTGTTTCTTTGATTAAAGGGAAAGCAGTTGCTATGCAACCATTAACGCTACAGCTGCACTGCTTTAATTCCCAGGACAAATCAAGGAAACTAGAGGATCAGAGAGGCAAATCTCCTTCCTGGCTTTGTACCACAAACTGAAGTAGGCACATAAAAGGGATGATAACATAAATGAAAAAGAAAGACAGAAATAGGCTATAAGGAGTTCTCTGTTTTGGCACATAATGGCTGACACACCTGTGAAAATGTACCTATTGATCAGAAATTCTTCTTGTAAACACTAATGTACAGACTCTCAAAATTGATAAAATATAACCCGTAAAGTGACCTCTCCAAAGTTATGTTTGTTCTCTCCTTTCAATTTCTGTAATCACTATAACCCTTTTACTTTCATAAGTGAGATAGCACATATTAATATGAGATACCAAGTTTGTTGCCTGCATATAATCTATTTTTTAAACAAAATACCACTTGTAAACTGTTTGAAAAACTCAAAGTATCAGACTTGAGTTGTATCATACTGTGGGGCACACCTCTTTGTTTCACAGCATTTTAAAGGACTGTCAATAACCTGGCTAGCATTTAACAGTCATTGAAATGGAGCCACAGCACTGAAAATGAATGGTTCATCATATTAATATTGACAAAGGTGCAGTGCAATAAGCATCATGCCCAGGTTTAAGTTAAGACTATATGTGATCTAATTTCATAAGCTGATTTCTTAAACCTACATGTGGTTGACAACATTGAAACCACTCTTTGGAAGTAAAAAGGTGGTAGCTATTTGGGATAGAGTTATATGGAATGTATCAATCTTGTCTTACAGCAGTGACATTTGTCAGGTAGGGTAATTCAGGGGTGGATTTTGGCCGTCTTCTGGGTCTTCTGGAAGACGGTCATATTTTCAAGATTACATTGACGGGTATCTAATTTTTTCCGTCGGAAGACGATCAAAATTGGATGAACAAAGATAATTTGGAAGACTGTCAGAAAATATTTCTGGATCCGCCCCTGTAATTCATACAATAAAAGTTTCAAGTATAACAGCAAGAAGAATATAAAAGACATCTAAAAAGTCAAATATTTAAGCGTTGAGCAATCATGATGTACCAGTCCTTCATAAATGGTACCTACTGTCTCCCTGGCTTTCCCATTTGGCACTCAGCACTTAAGGTTGATACAGAGGTACATGTAGAGTACCTGACCTGGCAGTGAAAGATGTTGTGGTAATAATTGGATCTTATTATTGTACTAAATAAAAGGTCTAAATAATTGCACTAGACTGCTTCTTATGCCCCAAAGTCTGGCTTCTCCAATCCAAAGGTGACTTTTATCAAATATGACATTTATTCACATTGAAATAGAGGAAGGAAAATCAAATTTCAGCCCATATTAATTTACAGTGATGCTTTCCTGATATGATCATATTCTGTTATGACATTTTAATAGCAGTGATAAGTAAAGACAAATCAAATCTCAAACCTGTGCATATTTTCTTGCCATGGTAGTTCAAATTTCGCATTCTACCTGGTGATTTGTGGCCATTTACAAATCAGGGAGAAACAAGAACAGCTTTCCTTCTTCTGCACTTGATTAACTAGCACACACACACATACATGTACAGACACACACACACACACACACATGGTAATAGCTACATCCTTTCAGGAAAATAGTAATTTTACAAATACTCTTATTTCTTTAGTCATACATTTTTAAAATTAGAACATTCCTACGGAGTGGAAGCAACAAAATTGAAAATCAGGCCAGCTTATAGCTCTGTTCTTTACAGTTAAAGCACCACAAATGCTCAACAGGTGTATATTTTTAATGATCCCAAAGTTGTGTGTCGGAAAGATGAATAATTTCTCCCCATTGAAAAGACTGAGTCATTACCTGTATTCTCGATATTTTTAGCCTGTTAATCCCTATTTCCTGCTCACAAACTTAACACCTCCATGTATCTGTACAAATGAATCCTTCTTAAAGCTCTTTTCTACATGTCATGAGGTATGCTAGTATTTTCTAGTCAAATGTGAAATTTACTATTCATGTCAGTAATGAAGTCTTTTAGTTATGTTTCATGACTTAAATAAATAAATAAATAAATAAATAAATAAATAAATAAAAACACAAACCAATGGTACTCAACTAGGTATCTAGAAAACCAATGTGAGTACATTCAAGTGCAATGGAGGTACACGTAGGTGGGACAACAGAGAGATTAGACGGACTTCCTATATGGATAGAAATTGCAAGCAAAAGATACCATGTAATAAGTAAAGCTGCCACAACATGAACGTAAATGCAGCCAAGTTAAAAACCAGTCTGAATGTCACTGCAGTGTCATAAGTGTGCTGACTGCAAAAATGTGATGTATGCAAAATGGAAAGATTCAACAGAAAATTGATAATTTTACATTTTGTTTTTCCTTTTAGCGTTTCACTTCTTAAAAGACTTCCCAGTGAAAAACTAGCGAAAATAGCTAGTGTCCTAGAAATGGTAAGCACATTTACAAATTTGATTTTAGTGAAAATAATTACATTACTTTCAAAGCAGAGTAATGCCTGTCATTTTTAACTGGTATACATAAAGCAATTCACAAATTTTATTTGTATGAATGTTTTATCATTCAGTTGATGAAGTGTGTATAAAGTTAAACTGAATTAGTGAGGAAATACTATTAGTTTGAAATGATGAAAATTACAAACCAAAAATTATGAACATAAAATATGAGTAATGAATTACATGTTGTTTTTTTTTTCAATATCTCAAACTTCAGTGTTTGGAAGATAAATAACCATGCATTGTGAACCAAAGGCCTCTGTAATAATCCACTTATATAAATTAAGCACTATTTAATTCATGACTATTTTCATGCAATATTTTTAGGATTTTTTCCATGAAGGAGAATGCATCATAAGGGAAGGGGAGGCAGGAGACACTTTCTTCATCATTAACAAAGGAGAGGCGAGTTTCTTGTACTGTATTCAAAATGGGTTTGGGGGGGATATGAATCCTATGAAATCTATGTGAACCTTGTACAGGATAATGTTATGTAGTACTAGTTTTTCTATCATGTTTCATTATTTCTGCAGCTTTGGTATTTTTTTAATGACCATGCAATTTCCTTAAGTAAAAATTAATGTCTGTAAAAATCAAACCTTAATTTGTTATGTAAGTAGATATGTTGATTATGAAAATTATCTTTGAGTAGGCATGATAAAATAGAACACAGAAAACATCCAATTTTGATGCTCTGGCTAAAAGCTGTGTATTTCTAAGCATTTGCTTAATTACTTAAAATGTGCACAGGCTTGTATAAAGAGAACATTTTCCTGCTAGCAATTTTTGATACGCAGGCTCGTAACATATAGATCTTAATTAGCTTTATCTCAGATCATACTGACACATTCAATTTATCAGAACCTTTTTTAAAAATTATTCATTGTTCTGAGTTTAATCTTTTGTTATTTTTTTTTACTATTTTAATCAAATAATGTCAACTATTGCACTAAAAACATTCTGTTATATCCTAGACTAGGGGGGGTGTAGCAATAATCTGAAAGTTCATTATTCCGAAGGTTCATTAGTTGGAATGTTCATTATACAATCTTTGAACCAATGAACCCTTCATAAAAAAACTGAAGAAAATGTTACATTTTTTTCGGACTAATGAACCTTCGGATTATAGAGATGCCCCCAGACTACCCCTAGCTAGCATCTTAACAGATTGAATAATTAGAGGTGATTTGATATATCCTCTCAGCCACTGTATTACTTTTTCAATATACATAGTATAATACATACATTGTTCTACATGGGTTTTAGCAGAATATCTGGTGATCATTTCATTTTTGACTTTGTGACTCATGACATAGTTAAAAAACCATTTTTTAGAAGTAAAATATAATAAAATCAGGAAATTATTCAGTATCTACTGGCACATGTACATATAACTGTAAAAATCTCATGTGTTAAGGTGGAAGTGCAACAGAAGCTCAAAGGTTTCAGTGACCCTCAGAAGATAAGGAATCTCAAGAGGGGTGATTACTTTGGTGAAAAAGCTTTGTTAAGGTAATGTCAAGCTTTTGACCTATAGTTCATAAGCCGACATCCATGATTTTAAACATTTTTGACTTTTAAACATTTTGATGAAAAAAAATCAACAGTTTAGTCTAAATACCCAGTAAAAATGCTTCCTAAACTTGTAGAAAACTTTTGACCAATCAAACATCAATTTGAATTACTTAATTAGGTTTTATTGAATACAAATTAGAAAAATCAAAATTAGTTCAAAATATTGAAGTGTTGTCATTTTTCTAGTGAGGATTACCGAACTGCCAGTGTAGTAGCCAAAGCACCAGGGGTGGAGTGCCTCACAATTGACAGGGAGTGAGTTTGACATTTAGCTGAAATCTTTGGTTTTATCTTTTGAGAATAACTTAATAAGGAAGATATGAATTGCTAGCAAATGACATGTAGTATTGTTACTTTTTAAAGATGTTAGTGAAAAGAAAAGTATTGTCATACTAAAATTCCAATTTCCCTTATTTTATTTTCATTATTGTGAAATATAATTGTGCCACAGTGAATTCATGCACATGTATATCATCAAGAATTTATTACCATGGTAATACATTCTTGATTTCATCACATATTCAAATTACAGATCCTTTACCCAGTTAATTGGAGATCTGAACGAACTTCGAGAAAAGGATTATGGAGATGAAGCAAGAAATGCTCAAAGGTAAATAAACATGTTTGTCATTTGGTATTTTTCTCTCCATTAGTAAAATATTAATATCAAAATGCTAGTTTAGGTACATTCTTGACAATATTTTCTATGCAACTCAATTTCACCTAAAATATCTATACATAACCGTTAATGTCATAACTGTCATCTTAAGATGTAAAAAATATGTCACTGGATCAATTCATCAATACATATATACTCTTTGATCAACAAAATTAGGCTTTTCAACAAAAAAACAAAGCGCCTTCGGAAAATTGCACATATAATTAGGTAAGGAATTTTGATTCTCTGCAACCAGTGACAGCTTCCATATCAGTCATTGCCTTTAATTAACAAACCTCACTTCACAAGTCTACTTATCAGGTATACATAATTACTAATACATTTTAACGATGTACGAAAAAATCCAAGCAAACTGGATACTAATCTGTAGGTTCAAGTATTATAACTTATTTTTTAAATTCTTTTTATACCAACTAAACCAACTAATTTGATATTTTGTATTTATCATTCTAATTAAATATTTAGCCCCTTTTTTGCATACAGACTCAAATCTGCTGAATGCCTTTGAGTCATAAAAAAGCATGTTCCTGCAGAAAATCAACATAATCAGATTATTTTAACAGAAGGTCTTATTTACTGGAATGTGCAAGTTTATGTTAAAATGGAGCAATTGCATCCACTTTTTGAAAGTATTTTCTGTTTTTGTTTTGTTTGATACTAACAGTCAAGAGTTAACAGTTTTTATGAACTCCTTTGATCAGCAAGATGGGTAAATTTTTATGGCTGTCTTCCATTTACTGGGTATTTGTCAATTTTTCCTTTATTGCAATACCAGGAAACATTTATACCCAAGGAATTGGTCACAAGGGTATTTACAGCTTGGAGGTTTATATATCTCCAGGATATGACCAGCATGCATGAATAATCCTAGCATTCTTAGAATTATATACAAAAAGGATGCCACATATCATGATATGCCACACTTCTCTACTCTTTGCCAGGGCCATAGATTGACTTTTCACTACATATTTTAAGACATTTCTCTGGCTAATTCTGTTCTCCTTTCTCTACCTTGACCCAGTCATGAAATCATAGCAATAATTACAGGGTTAGTCACTAATTAATAAAAAAAGCCAAGGCATTGTACCTTTGGTTGCAATTAAGACAGCTAATAGTTCTGAACTTAATTGCTTGCTCAGCTGTGAGACGGAAAAAAAAAATCGACCCATGGTAATAGCTTGTTATTTTTAAATATGGTCAGTTGAAGGATTTTTCTGCAGTACAGTAGTAGCTGCCGGGGGAGTGGGCAAAGATAAGGTATAAAGTGGATCTGATGAAAAACACTAAATACTCCTATGGTATGAGTAAAAGGAACACGGACTTATCATCTACATGTACATGCAAACTGTGTAAACAAAGCTGTTTTTAGTCAGTAAGATAATGTTTCTACTATAACTAAGAGAGCCAATGCAAGTGACTATTAATTGTATTTGACATACACATACCAAGTAAAAATAAAGGCTACATGCATAAACAGGAGCAGCTTAAGTAAAAGTTTTTTTACCAATGAAGAACTCAGTATGACTTGCTAAGGGAAAATATTATCAAGTCAGAAAAGGCGTTAATCCATGAACAGACAACTCTATCAGGAACATGAATAGGATTCAATGATGATTTGGATGACAGTGACACTAAAACCAACTTTCTCTGGCATCCACTTGAGTATCTCAGCATCCCATGATACCCCTAAATGTAATTAAGTGAAACCATTGTTTGCTATGAAAATGGCCATTTTCTCTCTCCTTTGAGATGAATTCATCTTGGAAATACCCAATTAGGTTTTTCAGAAAGATGTCCATACATGCAGAACAGATATTGATGGCTACTGCTTATCACTGACTTTAAGAGGATAAAGATGTTCACCTTGATTTGTTTCTGCTTTTTAGAAATCCTACATTGTCATTTGCTTACAGGAAATTTATTGAATACCTTCACTGCAGTTGTAGAACATTCTTTAGAATCTGCCTGCTGGCTTCATTTAGTTTGTACTTAACAATATTACATTGGAACTGGAATCCAGCAGCAAGATCTGACTAAAATTTCATTGAATGGAGATTTTCAAATACAGGTATTCCATTTATTCTCCATCATATTTCCAGTATTTTACTTTTCTCACACTTAATGACAGCTGGGAACTGTTTCTTTTTGTCCTCTGAGAACCAAAAATCATTTTGTGCACATAAAGAAAAGGCACTCTCATTTTCATTTTATCTAAATACACAATCACTCAATGGAACTTCTTTCTTACCCTTTGCAGCATTTTCTTTTAAATTTAAACTCATGATGCATTTACACTGAATTGGACCTAAAATGTTTTTTGCTGCCTTTTGAAAACTAAAAAAACAATTAATGCCCATTTCAAAATAGAAGAATATCTTATTTATTTAAATGATTTAGGTCATAAACATAGTATACAAATATTGTACTTGCTTAACATGGTTGATATGCATGGCACTGAAACCATTAACTTTTTAAAATTTAAGACAATTTGTTTTCAAAATTTTCAAGAAAAATTGTAGTGGTAGATAGCTAACACTGATAAATATTGAGTTTATAAAAACCATATATACGGTTTGTGATGTATTGTTTGTGATAACACTGGAGGGGTGCTACAAAAGCTATCATTTTTCCAGGGCCTCGGAATCAGATATTCCCGCATCCCCTGGGCGTCAAAAGATGGAGCGTGAGTTGGCCAATGTTGGCCTGCATCAGCTGGAGGTGTTAGCAACGCTAGGACTTGGGGGATTTGGGAGAGTGGAACTGGTAAGTGCAAGGCAAATTTAGGATCTTCCATAGAAAAAGCTGTGCAAAAATTTCCCTAGAAAATGGACATTGACAGAACTTTGTCTTTAACTCTTTTCACACTTTCCTGCCAACCACACATTATTATTATTTTTTTTAATTATGCACATAATTTGAATAAATTGTCACGGGCCCTCATATGGAGAACCTGGTTATAAACTAGGACACTGAAAAAATTGTGGCCATGTTTCTTTAACAATTATCATTACTTAATTAAAATTTTGTCTTTTATCTACTAAAATATATGAACTTGATTGTTTTTAACTACTAGAAATATGCTATACACATCTCCACACATGAACTTTTGAACCTTCCATCAAACCAATAATGCTGACTGTCAAATTACCAACTGAAGGTTTAATGTTGTCATTAGCAAGCATCACAGATAGTATTTAGCAGTAAACAATGTTTCCTTAAGACAATATGGCTATATGAAAGCTTCCCCTGCATGATTGACCACTGGGGGGCAGAGCATTTGTGTCCTACCACAATAGGTAGGTTAACAAACTACACGTAGGTACATCTGAAAGTGCGCTCTGTTGAAAAACTGTAACTGTCAAATAAAATGAAACTTCTTTGAAACTATTTCCAGAAGGCACATCAAAATTATTTGAAGTTCAACACACAAATTTGAGAGATAAGATGACTTAGAAGGTACAAATTTGATACAACTATTATCTAGTGTGGATTCAGTGTTTTGCAAAGGAACCATGTCTTTAGGAAGCATTACATCTTAATTAATCTTAGGTCACCCCCTAAATTTTTTTATTACCCAAATATGGATATTTCTTTATTAATTTATATCATTTAGTATCTTTGGGTAAAAAGCTTTGCTGAACAAACTTACTTTTCTGCTTTTCATTCTTGTTATTCACCTGCTGATGTACCTATTGGCAGCTGAACATGTACATGTATCTCTTTTGGCATGACACTTGCACTTATCTGAAGCATGCAGAATGGTGAATTGAAATGTCCAAGTTATTCAAATATGCTGCAAGGAAAAAAACACTATCATGCGGCTGCTCTACAAAGTCACCATTTCTTGAATACATATCCCACATATTAACAGACTTTTTTTCATTCCAAGGTCATCAAAACAGATACATCTAGCAGCATATGTAATCTGCATATGACATTTTACAGTTTTGTAGGACAAATCAAATATAGTTTTACGAACCTTCCTGCCTCTTTCTATGTATGTTAGCCATCCAGTTGTACTTCACAATACCATAGTTTTAAATCTAATACTGGAATAATGATTAGCCAAATTAACTGATAATATTGCATCTCCATCTTGGAGACTGCAACAGGTCAGGTTTACTGAGAATGCAAATTACATAACGAGACTGAGAACAACCACCTGTACTAGTATTCTCAGTAGACTGACTGAAGTCTTCCAGAGTGAGACACAATGTCATCAGTTACTCTAATTGTAAGTCTAGTATTAGATTTAAAATATGTTTAAGTTTTTTGCATAACCCACCTTATGCCATAGTGATTATCAGTTTATTTTCAGCTACTTAAGATATTTGAGTAATTCAGGCATGGTCAGCTCACGCATAACCGAGCTATTTCAAATAATAAAAACTTTATATATATATATATATATATATATATATATATATATATATATATATATATATATATATATATGATCATCTAGCATACACCATTCTAAAAATATCCAATAACAATTAGATTCAGCTTAGTACAGACAGAACCAAAACATATGCCCTGAAGTGCCTTAAGAAAAAACATATAGTGGAAACCCGGCAACAAGAGCACATTTACTCAGAGAAGAAGATCATGATGAATGCAAGGTCAAACTTTATTGCAAGGTTAGTGAATGGATCAAGGCAAGCAGGCTGGAAATGGCAGTTTGAAAAAATGAAAACCTCAAATGAAATAATTGTATATTTGATATATCTGAGGCAAAAAAAAAATGGTATGCAAACCACATTTACATGTATAATAATTAAAATTATAATAATTAATATAACACTCATTTGAGTTTCTTTTATATTCTTTTTTCAATTGATATAAAACCACAAAGACAATACTGACTCGCACAATGATGTTGTTGTTATTTCAGATTATACAGGACATTTAAGGATAATAAATATGTGTATATGTTAATGGAAGCATGCTTAGGAGGTGAGCTTTGGACGATTCTCAGGGACAGGTATGTCATACCCCAATACATTGTGCACCACTTTTTTTTTTTAACATCACTTATCATAAACACTTGGAAATGACAAAGATAACTGTGACATAAATAACTAGAGTATACTCATTGTCACATGAATATGAACACAGGAGAAGGATGAGAAAATAAACAACATTTTTCGCTTCACTTCCAATACACCTTAAGGATACCTTGAGGATACCAGACGTACATCTGCATAACCCACATTTTTATCACCGTCTCAGTAATATTCCTGACTGTTTACACTCATAAAGGTGCAAATGACAGGACTTGTAAGCAATCAAAAGCTACTTAGTGTATACACAAACATGCATGCATAACAGTTGGCTTGTCGATGCCACAAGAAATCTTACAATCATGCTTGAGCTGTGCACAAAGCCATTTTGAAATATATCAGACACCTTTGAGTAGTGATTAATGTCCGTGTTCTGTTACCTTAAATGGTAGTGAAGTTGAAATTTGTGTTCACTTAAATGAATGCCATTAATGTGAATAAATCAGAGTGTTTGATAACCTTTCCTATACATTATGGCTGCCATTATATCAGTGTTATGACACATCTTTAATTCTGCTGCACTGGGACAGAAGATCAGAATTATGATTGATGACTTCCAATAAAAAGTGACAACTATCTAGTTTTGTTACATCTTTTAGGCCATGGGATCAATCAATGTGAAATATCAGATAAAAATGTCCAAATGCAAGCTAAATTACACAAACCATGCAATTTTTTGCTGAAAGTTTTTTCCAATCACAACAAGTGTCTACATTCCTATGAAACTAGAAAATATGTGACATCTTATATAACATCATGTTAAAAGATCAACAATACTGTACAAACATGCCAAAATATTTAAAAATTTGAGGGCAACCTATAGACTTGTTCTTATAGATTTGTACCCAAATTATATATATACTGGTAGCTTGTACCCTAATTGACACGTGTTGTTCATGTTTCAGGGGGCATTTTGATGAGGTGACAGCGAGATTTTGTGTAGCCTGTGTTATCGAGGCCTTTGATTACCTTCATTCAAAGGGAATCATATACCGTGATCTGAAGCCAGAAAATCTATTACTAGATACTAAGGGTTATGTTAAACTGGTAAGAAATTCAATGTTATAATATAGACGGAAACAATATTCACTCACATAACAAAAAAATGTTCATTATAGTTCATTACTGAAAGTGTTGATTAAGGGGATATAAGGTCATAGATTAATTTAAAGGAGATTGGACTTAGTAATCACCTGCCTTGCCTTGGCTTACCTTCCCTTAATTGCAAGTGCACATACTGTAAAAAACAGCTTTCTCTCTCTCACACACACACACACACACACACACACACACACATGCAAAGAGAGGCACAAAAACAGTTAACAACTGATTCCAGGTGTAAATTACCTGGGCCAGATGTCAGGTGTTAATAACCCACAGTGAGTGTCACTGCTCATTAGCTGTAACCTACCAGTATATTTAACCTTCCATTAATTTTGTAATTGTCTCCCATTGTTGGTTGAGATCATTCCAAGTAAAAAAAAAACATTTTTGAATTTTGCAAAGAAAGGACAGTATGGCTGTAATAAGGGTGTAACATGACATACTATGATAAGGTTTATTTGGGTTCAAAGCTGAGTGACTGTGGAAGTGTTCTAGCTGTTCCTACATAATTGAATGAAGTCAAAAGTAAAAGATGTGTTGGCATTCATTAGGTGTGTGTGTGGGTTATCTTCCAGAGTTTCTCAGCAGAAAGTGAAAAAGCAACACATGAAAGATTGTTATTTTGACTGTCAATCTGTTATAAACATCTGATTAAAATTGAATAAAGATGCCTTTAGATTTGGAACTGAAGACCGCAGTTGAGTTGTTCATTGACACTGGCATTGCTCGCTGATAATGCTACAGCATTTATCTTTCAGGTGCAACAAAAACAGATTTGATAACAAATATTTAAAAATATCACTCTGGATAGTCATTATACATAAAACATTAGTATTTGATTTCCCATTAATTCTGGCCAACCCACAGTATTCATGGTATTTTTCTGAGGTTTTTCCTATACATAATAGCTATATCTGCATGGTACAATCCCCAGATATTCCTTGATTAATTCAGACTTTACAAATTATTCATATTTTCTCTTTTTTTTCTGAAATATGATTTCTGATGTATTATCACAGGATTTATCATCATTGCAAAATGCAGTTGTTGCCACAGTGTAATGCTATAACCAGTGTACATGTAGATTAGTCATACAGTCCTATTTTACATGAATACAACATATTTGTACTGTATCCCAATATAATGCCTGTAGATAACTATCTTGATTTTAAAAACTGCAATTTTGTTAAAAGCAGCAAAAGGTATTTAAAAAATCTTCACACAATTTTTAGGTATACATAAAAATTGTGTCGTGTGTGTGTGTGTGTGCGTGCATGCATGCTTACATGTGTGTGTGTTTTACGTGACAAATGGACATTGATTTTGTAAAGCATGATGGTTGGAGGACCAAAGTATATACAGGTTTTCAGACGTACAAATCATTTGCATTTCTTTTGGTTTTGTATCATATACAGTAAACACGTCCAAGCACCTTAACAAAATGTTGCTTTACTCAATAGGTAGACTTTGGTTTTGCCAAGCGAGTTGGTCATGGCAGCAAGACGTGGACATTCTGTGGTACTCCTGAATATGTTGCCCCTGAAATTATACTGAACAAGGGCCACGATCATGCTGTGGATTACTGGTCCCTAGGAATACTCATGTATGAGCTGCTAACTGGGAGGTTAGTTTTACATTCAGTTTTGTGCTTCTATTTGTGTTTATATGTGACCTTTTTGTATACTTGTATACAATTATAACCTGTCATTGGTGGTATGTCCATAAATGAAAGCATGCTGTGAGTTACTAAGCGCTTAGACTAAATATAATATAAGGTCCTTCAGAAATTTCATATTTTCCCAAATATATGAACTCTCATTTCTCATAGCAAAATGCAATCTAAAATGTGAAAAGTAGACATACTTAGAAGAATTGCCTTTTTAAAAAGAAATTAGCTCATCTAAGTTTGCTTACAAAATTGAAGTAACACACCCATTAAGACTTCTTGAATGGTATCAACAATCTCAGTCACATGGTCCCATAACAAATCAATACCCTGAAAAAAGGGAGCAGCTATGTAATAACTAGCTATAGTTACTTTATAATTTACCAAACATTTTTTTAATTTAATTTTTTTTTTTTTGTAAAATTTTTGAAAGTGCTACACTTGGAATGATGCACTTACTGATGATCTTGATGGCACATTTCTGCTTGGAATAAAAAAGCCAAATACAAGAAAGGAATGGCAGTCAATCATGGGACTTTTTGCTTTTTTATTATTGTTAATTTTTTTTTCATTCTAGTCCGCCTTTCTCAACCTCTGACCCAATGAAGACATACAATATCATTCTCAAAGGAATTGACGTTGTTGAATTCACACAACATATTAGAAAAAATGCTCAGAACCTCATTAAGAAACTTTGCAGAGATAATCCTGCTGAAAGGCTAGGTTATCAGAAGAATGGAATAGCAGACATCAAGAAGCACAAGTAAGAAGATGCATGCATATCATTATTTTTTTATCAGCACTGCTAACTTCAAAGTAGAATTTTTGATCTTTTAAGAATTTTGGTCTTTTGATCTTAAAAGCTGATTAGCCACATTTCTTTAATTNCAAAAGACAATACTGACTCGCACAATGATGTTGTTGTTATTTCAGATTATACAGGACATTTAAGGATAATAAATATGTGTATATGTTAATGGAAGCATGCTTAGGAGGTGAGCTTTGGACGATTCTCAGGGACAGGTATGTCATACCCCAATACATTGTGCACCACTTTTTTTTTAACATCACTTATCATAAACACTTGGAAATGACAAAGATAACTGTGACATAAATAACTAGAGTATACTCATTGTCACATGAATATGAATACAGGAGAAGGATGAGAAAATAAACAACATTTTTCGCTTCACTTCCAATACACCTTAAGGATACCTTGAGGATACCAGACGTACATCTGCATAACCCACATTTTTATCACCGTCTCAGTAATATTCCTGACTGTTTACACTCATAAAGGTGCAAATGACAGGACTTGTAAGCAATCAAAAGCTACTTAGTGTATACACAAACATGCATGCATAACAGTTGGCTTGTCGATGCCACAAGAAATCTTACAATCATGCTTGAGCTGTGCACAAAGCCATTTTGAAATATATCAGACACCTTTGAGTAGTGATTAATGTCCTTTTTCTGTTACCTTAAATGGTAGTGGAGTTGAAATTTGTGTTCACTTTAATGAATGCCATTAATGTGAATAAATCAGAGTGTTTGATAACCTTTCCTATACATTATGGCTGCCATTATATCAGTGTTATGACACATCTTTAATTCTGCTGCACTGGGACAGAAGATCAGAATTATGATTGATGACTTCCAATAAAAAGTGACAACTATCTATCTAGTTTTGTTACATCTTTTAGGCCATGGGATCAATCAATGTGAAATATCAGATAAAAATGTCCAAATGCAAGCTAAATTACACAAACCATGCAATTTTTTGCTGAAAGTTTTTTCCAATCACAACAAGTGTCTACATTCCTATGAAACTAGAAAATATGTGACATCTTATATAACATCATGTTAAAAGATCAACAATACTGTACAAAAGTGCCAAAATATTTAAAAATTTGAGGGCAACCTATAGACTTGTTCTTATAGATTTGTACCCAAATTATATATATACTGGTAGCTTGTACCCTAATTGACACATGTTGTTCATGTTTCAGGGGGCATTTTGATGAGGTGACAGCGAGATTTTGTGTAGCCTGTGTTATCGAGGCCTTTGATTACCTTCATTCAAAGGGAATCATATACCGTGATCTGAAGCCAGAGAATCTATTGCTAGATACTAAGGGATATGTTAAACTGGTAAGAAATTCAATGTTATAATATAGATGGAAACAATATTCACTCACATAACAAAAAAAATGTTCATTATAGTTCATTACTGAAGGTGTTGATTGAGGGACTATAAGGTCATAGATTAATTTAAAGGAGTAATCACCTGTAATCACCTGCCTTGCCTTGGCTTACCTTCCCTTAATTGCAAGTGCACATACTGTGAAAGACAGCTTTCTCTCTCACACACACAAACACACACGGACACACGCAAAGAGAGGCACAAAAACTGTTAACAACTGATTCCAGGTGTAAATTACCTGGGCCAGATGTCAGGTGTTAATAACCCACAGTGAGTGTCACTGCTCATTAGCTGCAACCTACCAGTATATTTAACCTTTCATTAATTTTGTAATTGTCTCCCATTGTTGGTTGAGATCATTCCAAGTAAAAAAACATTTTTGAATTTTGCAAAGAAAGGACAGTATGGCTGTAATAAGGGTGTAACATGACATATTATAATAAGGTTTATTTGGGTTCAAAGCTGAGTGACTGTGGAAGTGTTCTAGCTGTTCCTACATACTTGAATGAAGTCAAAAGTAAAAGATGTGTTGGCATTCATTAGATGTGTGTGTGGGTTATCTTCCAGAGTTTCTCAGCGGAAAGTGAAAAAGCAACACATGAAAGATTGTTATTTTGACTGTCAATCTGTTATAAACATCTGATTAAAATTGAATAAAGATGCCTTTAGATTTGGAACTGAAGACCGCAGTTGAGTTGTTCATTGACACTGGCATTGCTCGCTGATAATGCTACAGCATTTATCTTTCAGGTGCAACAAAAACAGATTTGATAAGAAATATTTAAAAAATATCACTCTGGATAGTCATTATACATAAAACATTAGTATTTGATTTCCCATTAATTCTGGCCAACCCACAGTATTCATGGTATTTTTCTGAGGTTTTTCCTATACATAATAGCTATATCTGCATGGTACAATCCCCAGATATTCCTTGATTAATTCAGACTTTACAAATTATTCATATTTTCTCTTTTTTTTTCTGAAATATGATTTCTGATGTATTATCACAGGATTTATCGTCATCGCAAAATGCAGTTGTTGCCACAGTGTAATGCTATAACCAGTGTACATGTAGATTAGTCATACAGTCCTATTTTACATGAATACAACATATTTGTACTGTATCCCAATATAATGCCTGTAGATAACTATCTTGATTTTAAAAACTGCAATTTTGTTAAAAGCAGCAAAAGGTATTTAAAAAATCTTCACACAATTTTTAGGTATACATAAAAATTGTGTCGTGTGTGTGTGCGTGCATGCATGCTTACATGTGTGTGTTTTATGTGACAAATGGACATTGATTTTGTAAAGCATGATGGTTGGAGGACCAAAGTATATACAGGTTTTCAGACATACAAATCACCTGCATTTCTTTTGGTTTTGTATCATATACAGTAAACACGTCCAAGCACCTTAACAAAATGTTGCTTTACCCAATAGGTAGACTTTGGTTTTGCCAAGCGAGTTGGTCATGGCAGCAAGACGTGGACATTCTGTGGTACTCCTGAATATGTTGCCCCTGAAATTATACTGAACAAGGGCCACGATCATGCTGTGGATTACTGGTCCCTAGGAATACTCATGTATGAGCTGCTAACTGGGAGGTTAGTTTTACATTCAGTTTTGTGCTTCTATTTCTGTGTTTATATGTGACCTTTTTGTATACTTGTATACAATTATAACCTGTCATTGGTGGTATGTCCATAAATGAAGGCATGCTGTGAGTTACTATGCGCTTAGACTAAATATAATATAAGGTCCTTCAGAAATTTCATATTTTCCCAAATATATGAACTTTCATTTCTCATAGCAAAATGTAATCTAAAATGTGAAAAGTAGACATACTTAGAAGAATTGCCTTTTTAAAAAGAAATTAGCTCATCTAAGTTTGCTTACAAAATTGAAATAACACACCCATTAAGACTTCTTGAATGGTATCAACAATCTCAGACACATGGTCCCATAACAAATCAATAGCCTGAAAAAAGGGAGCAGCTATGTAATAACTAGCTATAGTTACTGTATAATTTACCAAACATTTTTTTTAATTTAATTTTTTTTTTTTTTTGTAAAATTTTTGAAAGTGCTACACTTGGAAGACGCACTTACTGATGATCTTGATGGCACATTTCTGCTTGGAATAAAAAGCCAAATACAAGAAAGGAAAGGCAGTCAATCATGGGACTTTTTGCTTTTTTATTATTGTTAATATTTTTTCATTCTAGTCCGCCTTTCTCAACCTCTGACCCAATGAAGACATACAATATCATTCTCAAAGGAATTGACGTTGTTGAATTCACACAACATATTAGAAAAAATGCTCAGAACCTCATCAAGAAACTTTGCAGAGATAACCCTGCTGAAAGGCTAGGTTATCAGAAGAATGGAATAGCAGACATCAAGAAGCACAAGTAAGAAGATGCATGCATATCATTATTTTTTTATCAGCACTGCTAACTTCAAAGTAGAATTTTTGTCTTTTGATCTTAAAAGCTTATAGCCACATTTCTTTATTTGTTCTGGAGAAAAATGTTCAGAACCAATGTGACGAGTAGACATAGTGATCATGAGGAAGGTCCCCCCCTCCAGCTTCTGAGTTACCCCCACCCTTCTTACACTTCTCCCTCCAAAATAATCAATCAATTGTATCAACCAAAATAAAGAAAAGCACTATAAGAAGTTAAACATAACAATGCCAAGCACATTTCAATCCCTGTGCCTCACATATCATACTAAAATTGTCCAAAGACAAGTGAAAGAATGCAAAGATTCTTATTCTTGCACCTCACAATTTTCTAATTTTACATATTTTATTACTGTTCCCCACCCTACCCTTTTAGCAAAATCTTGGATCTGTCAGTGATAACAGTACCCAAGAGCATGCAAAATACAAAGTGCAACAAACTGGTAGTCATAATTGGTTTTAATCAATTAAAATATATTTGACAGGGATTGGAATTTATAAAGTACATTATTTTTGAACTTTCAAAAATTGTTCCACGTCTCTTTTTATTCAAATTTACCAAATGTCATCTTTTTGCATAATTTTGTTTTACTAAAAAGATTATCACTAAAACATAATTTCCTTTTCCAGATGGTTCCAGGGGTTTGATTGGCATGGATTACACAGGCAGATACTAACACCGCCTATTCAACCTAGGGTATGATATTACCAATAAAAAATATAATCTGGAATATTACCTCAAACAAATCAATGATTCAGCATTGTCATTCACTATTCATGCAACGTCTACAGATCATTAATGAACACTAAATGTAGACTTGTGACAAAAAAGCAGAAAAAGTAGCCAATATGGTTTTAAATATAATTTGAGATTTTGCTAAGTAAGGGTGCATTCCCAGAGATTTAAATCGATCCAGAGATTTAGATTTAGATCGACCTAACTCCCTGGGGGTTCACGCTAAATTGCAGTCAGCTGAGCATGCACCATAGTTAATTCCCCCTTACAGCTTTTAGTAGGCAGGACAGATGCTTAAGCCAGCTAAGCTGACAGTAATCTTCTGAGACTCCCCACAGGGATAGATCGATCTAAAATCTATGGGAATGGGGTCAAAGAAGAACCATTGCCATCCATTTTGCAAGATCATATTAATGCTAACTCACCTTCATAAGCTTATGCTGGCATTGGCATGGTTATTGAATAGCCATGTTTCCCTTATCCTGGGCATTTGAGAATTTAGATGTGCTCAGGTGAACTAGAATTTAATTTACACATAAAGTGTCCTTTTAAGTGGGCTGAGGGGGGTTCATTGGAGTTCACATTAATATCAGTGGTGAGCCTTTGCACATGCTAGTACTTAAGGTAGATCCATATGTTAGGATCTATTTCCTTATCTGGTTACATAATCCAGAAATTAACTGTCATGTTATGGCATAATATGATGAGACAGGGACAACACTTAAAAGCAGAAGCACATGGGGTTGTGAATTAAAAAAAAAAAGCTTTTTTGCTCTAAAAGTGTTTAATTTTTTATAGCACTAATATCTAGACAAGTATTTTACATAAAAGAAACAGGAAAAAAGCAATTTAGGCCAGGTAAACATATCAATTAACCTTCAGTCAATTAAATATTTCATTACAGGTTCGAGGGCCAACAGATTTCAGCAATTTTGATAATTATCCCAAAGACAAGGATATTCCTCAAGATGAACTTTCTGGGTGGGATAATGACTTTTAGCTTTGTACATCAGCTGAAGGAGGGGTAAAAAAGTAAAAAAAACTTCCAGTGGAATTGTTGTATTCAGTACGTTTCAACAAAAGACCTAATCGAAGGAGATGGTTTGGGATCAATCGACAGTGTGGGGCAGTGCTTAATCTCCAATGGCCAGACAATTGCAGAACAGAAACAGATGGGAAGAAATGGATACCCTCCAGACAAAAGCCAATAACACCGAAACTTGGGAACTTCAAATTGTTGCCCTTATCCCTTAGGGGTGCATATCTAAATTCCGAAGGTCTTTTGTTCCGGGGGGGGGGCTTTTGTTCTGAAGGACCGCTGTTCCGAAGTACCATTCATCCAAGGGTCCCCTATTACGAGGGTCCGCTATATGTATTTGAGTATATGAGCCAAATTACATGAGTGCAGACAACAAAATGGCACAGGAGAGAGCAGAAAATGTCATAGCATAAAATAATTAAAAGCGCCTCTCTGCACATGCAAGTAATACCATTGCGTTTAAGTGCGGCTAATAACTTTTTTCAGAATAGCATATCCTTGGACTAAAAGCATTCGGAATATCGGACCTTCTGCCCTTTGGAATATCAGGCCCTCAAAACAGCAGTCGATTTTTTAACTTGGCTCCTACAGTCTTCGGAAGATACGGCTGTCCCCACTCTTAAAGGCATGGCTGGCAATAATAATGATGAAAAGCTAATTGCAATAGAAACACTTGGAATAAATTGCTGGCTGTTGTCATGAGACAATTTTTGAATTAACTTAAACAATGGGAATGGACTGGGAAAATGTTACTGCCATATCTTTCATTTTCTTTATGTGCAGATGCAGAGATTCAGTCCTTAAAGAAAACCACAGAGACATACTGAAGTTGGTTGCCACTAAACTTTTAAATTGAGGATGCTTTTATGTGGTGATAACACTGGCCTATAATTTATGGTCGGCTTAATTTTTGAGTGACAAATGTACATTTTTCAAAGGGCTATGGATGTTTGTCCAATCAAACGTCCATCATAGTAAACAAGGAAGACACTGATAAGACACGTATTACAGCTAATGAGCAATTGTATAGTATATTATAGTCCTGGGTATTGTAATCATGATGAATGGGAAGTGTGCAAGTGGGATACCATGTGTCAGGATCTAAGTTTTAATTCCTGTAAGATATTTAAAATATTAATCCAGAAGGTCCATAGTCTGATGTCTTAATTCTGCATGCTGCACTTATCACAACATTATTTATATCGTATCTTGGTGTTTATCTCTAATGTGATGGAGTTTCTTGCACTTTATGAATAATCCACTAATCTCTCTGATATATTTGTATATAGGAACGTAAAAAAAGTTTCACATTTTTTTGTCAAATGTTTGATCCAAACTCTAGTCATATAGCATCAGTATCTAGTCATTTACTCATCAATTACTAATATGGTATGAATACGTGTTCCTAGGAAAATGTTATACCTGGAAATCATTAATCTTATTTAATTTAATAGCGTTTCACTCATCTTCACATTATTTCATATGAAAATTTTGAGTTATCATATTATAATATAAATACTGGAAAGTACATACATCTGACAATCACTGGCAGACAAAAACATTTAGGCTTCATTCACATGCAATGTCTATTTTCTAAATTCTATTTTCTATTCGCGGTATGTCTTATGATCACAGGCTGTGCCCTGAATATCCCGCGGCGTAATTACTGGCAGCGCGAGCCAGTTACTATAAGTTACTATAAGTAACTGGCTCGCGCTGCCAGTAATTACGCGGCGGGATATTCAGGGCACAGACCGTGATCATAAGATAGCGCAAATAGAAAATAGAATTTAGAAAATAGACATTGCATGTGAACGAAGCCTTACCTAATATTGAACAATTTATCTAGCACAAGACCAACATGTGCCAACTGTAAGTGTCTGCATTTATCTTAATCATTATTTTCTGTTCATGTCATCTGTCTCAGCCACCTACCTCATCCAGACTATAACTGCTCAGCTGTATTTTGTTTAACTTCATAAAATTGGGAAGTCTTGTTTGGTAAAAATGCAGGGCCCAAAATGCAAACCAAGTTAAAAAATCATCATAAATAGGTTACTTTCATAAGTTAGTCTTGCTGTCAGGTTTCTATTGTTTTATGTCATATTCAATGAAAAGTTAAAAAGACATTTCAAAGTAATTCCTCTTTTATTCCATCTATTTCGCCTTCTTTATATAATGCCATAACAGTAAAGTCTTTAAGGATAAGCTATATGACATGTATCAGTGTTTATTGCCAATTACTTTGTGCCAAACCAACAATGCATCATATTTGTACAGAAAACAAAATTGATCTCCATATTTACATGCTCATTGGTGGCTCTAGTGGGGGAACAGTGGGCAGATGCCCCTCCCCTAACTTAAGGGGTATCGCCTTTCCACCCCAACCCCCTCCCCCCAACAAAAAAGTATAATAATAAATAGAGACATAACAAAGCAATTTTACAGAATGCTTCGCCCATGTGCCTCCTCCCTTAAGCTTGACTGGATTCGCCAAAATGCTTGCAATGTGATCTTTTTCAATAATGCATCATTTAATGACAGCATGTTTTAGATAATATGTTATAAATACTTAAAAAGACAAAGTTCCCATAGTAAAAAATTGAACTTTTCATATTTATTTATCAACATATCTTACAGACATCAAATAATTTAGGAAGCACAATATATTTCATAAACATTATTATACTAACAAACTGTTGTACCAAAGCAGCATTCTTGTTCTTTTTCACTGTATGTAGAACAAACAAAACAAAATTATTTATTAAATCTATTGTAACATATATCATCTCTGAATTCGAAAGTGCAACTCATGTATTATATTGTTTTAATTTTGGTTGTTATAGTCAAAATATCTGGTGCTATACGATGTAATATATTTTTAGCAATAAATTTTTTCTGTGTAGTAATTTCTATAGTATGTGTTTTCTGTTGAAATATAAACACCTCAGATAGCATTTGCCAGTGGGTCACTGGTGGCATACTGGTAGTCCCGGGTGGCCTGCCTCTGTTATGCCACTGGCACTCTCTGATATCAGAGACTTCTAAAATAGTATAAAAAATGGAAGTATTATAACAGTAGACCACTGGTGTTGTAAAGTTAACACCAACAAGGATGGCAGATCACTGGGTTGCTTTTGAAGGGTCACCAGTGCAGTGTCACCAACAACATTCTGTTACAGGTCAGAGTACCCCTTGGGTCTGGTCTTGGGAAAGGTAATGTTTGCTATTTTTATCAACAGGGAATGTTTCAACAAGCTTAGAGATACTACTGCGCATGCGTCAAGGTGTCAGAATCTCTTCCGAGCACAGCCGAGAATTAATTACAGCTTTGGAAGTAACTTGCTCGTGCTGCCAGTAATTATGCCACAGGGCATTCAGGGCACAGACCATGATCACAAGATACCACCAATAGATTTTTAGATTTTTAGAAAATAGATTTTTCATGTGAATGGTCCCTTAGAGGATAAATATGTTGAAACTCTTGAAGAGGTCACAGTCATCTCAGATACTTACTTTTTCACTCATAAGAAAATATTTATTGTCCAGAAATCAGACTGGTGTCATTTTAAAATATTCAGATTATTTTAAGAGAAATTTTCAAGAGTCTCAGTCTCCCAAACCCACAAGTCCCAAGTCACTACGTATATACGTCATAGTGATTCTACACCCCCTCAAAAGTACGGACGCTTAGAAGCTTCACAGGGTGTAGGGTTGCTTCCAACTTGTAACTATTGTAAGAAAAAAGGTCTTGTCATTGGTGAGTGTTTGAAACTTAAGATGAAAAATGACCTTGAAAAGCAACAGACTAATGCTTGTGCAGCTCTTAGAAGTGATATTAAAACTGGCCACATGAAAGAATTACCGCATATTTCCAGCCATCCAACCTGGGGCATTTGTCAATGATCTGGTAGAAGCCCTGCCCGGAGATACTGACAAGACACAACAGTCAGTACTAGACATTGTGGACCTGTGCAAGACCCAAATGGCCAAAGATAAGAAGAAGGGTGAGTACTATTCGTGGCCGTGCATCTTAGCGTCTGAAGTACTCTCCAAGGGGATTTCCTCTAAAAATTGGGTGGAAAAATACATCTCAAAGCTCCCACCTAATTCTGGGAAACCCAAGAAGCCAGTATGACCCAGAAATCCTGGGGAATCAAGAGCTTTTTCAGGACCAGTCAGGCATATAAGGTTGGGAACTGACCCCAACATTACCCAAACCTCTTTTGTGGTGTCTGGGAGAGGGGGGGATGCCACATCAATTCCAACACCAACATCAGAGGCCATGGAGGTGGACGTCTTGGAGGAGGAGGTCTATTCTGTGGAGTCTTGCAATTCTTCGGAATTGCTTGGATCTTTAGATGGATCTGCTTCCAAAGGGAATCCTAAGCCCCATGATTCTCTTTTGGAAAAATCCCCCAAGACTTGTTTTCTCAATGGAGGGTAGCAGACTGGCAGCTTTGGCGCATATTGCCACAAACTCACCCTACTCTTCTTTTGTTAGTACAGGGGAGAAAACCCATTCATTTGGGCCAGTATCCCAAGCCGGAAAGCAAGGTTCTGCTAGTATGGGAGAGAAAGCCCATTCAATTTGGCAAGTACCCCAATTGAGAAAACAGGACAAAAGGCCAATTCCATCTCTCATGAGCCTCTCCTTCTCTTCTATTCCAAATAGGGGGGAGAAAGCCCATTCAGTCGGGGAAAGTATCCCAAGCCGGAAAAAACTCCCTTTTCTGAAAGAAGTAGGGAGGAGAAATCCCAAACCGGAAAACGCAGGAGTAAGAAAAGAAAACCTTAATCATCAAAATCATCGAAGTCAGGTCAATCCATGCAGAAGCCAACGACTGTTGCTGCATCTGGGGAATCTTGGAAACGAGAGTCTCTGACTGAGTCTGTGGGGGAGCCTAGCCTAAAAGTGGCTAAGGTTGGACCCAAAATGACCAAATGTCAAGATCCTGGGTGTAATAACCCCAATATTGAAAGGGGTGCAGTTAAAGCTAATGCCATGACACATATTCCTGATATTTTTGACAAGGGTTTGGGTACAGTCCCTGAGATTGTGGCCCTCAGAGTGAGGGCTTTGGAGTGAGCTACCTCACTGATTTTCAGCATTAATAAACCCTTTGAAAACCTATGCTATTTTATATCTGCATCAGGTGATAAATTTGGCCTAAAAAAATCAGGGGGTTTGCCCAGCAGGACTTATGGCTCAACCACTTCAAGGTGCCTGCAGGTCTCCAACGGACAACAGCGGTGGATGTAGTGATGGGAGTTGGAATCCCGGCTTTCGATAGCCATTGTCACTTGGACTGGACTCTCCAAGTGTTAAGTCTAAATGTAGATTGCATTAGTTGCGCCCTGCAGAAACAATCTTGCTGACGAAACAGGGTCAAGGTCCAGGTCGCAAGGAAAATATGGCTGACTTATGATGCACGTGTTGAATGTGTTTTTCACGACAAGGAACAAGTTTAAGGTTTTCAAAGAGAACTAACGAAGCGACATGTACAGAATCACGGAGGACACGCGACACCTCATATGTACATGTATAAAGAAGGTAAAAAAAAGACAAAAGTCCACGTCAGCAGTCAAAGTTATTTATGTCATGTTTTACAAGTCTTGTGTACTGTAAGAGACTGCAAGTTCATTTAAGCTGTTACCAGTTCAAGAGGTTATACAAGTCTAGTAAGTTGCTAGCTTATGTATATTATTGCTTATTTCTTAAATTAAATTTTGTTCTTTTAAGCTTTGTAATGCATGTATAAAAATTAAATTTATAAGAGTGATATTCAATCATATACCCCTGTAAGTATACATGCATGTAGGTCATGTAAAGAAAGTAAACCATAGATGTTTAAGTATCTCATAAGTAACAAGATAAGAACATGTCTATTTTAAACTTTCTTTGTGTAGTTATAGTTAACATTATTTTCATTGTTATTATTTCAGAACGTATTCATTGTGGTGATTCAATAAAAGTCTCAAGAAAAGATTAAGGTGTTTGTCAAGATATTGGACACTACACCAAGCTTATAATATGCCAATAATAATAATAATGTATTGCTTGACTGCATCAAGGGATTATATAGAGCATGCCCAGAGCAATGCAGAGATCAATCAAGGACCACGCCCCACACCATTTATCATACTTGTCAGAAGTGACGAAAATGAATTCCTCGTAGCAGGCCTAACTGCACATAAAAACTAGTGGTTTGGGGTTCGTGGAATTCATCTTACATAAGCATTGAACAAACAACACTATCCTCTTGATTTTGATATATGAGTCAAAGCTTTATTTCATTTCAAATCACCAACTCTGAATCGCCAAATATTTGCCCGCAATAAACAGCTATAATTTCGGAAGTTAGTTTTTCTTCTGTAGTTTCACCAATGTGAGACAGAGGGTGTAAGTGTACCTGCTGCTAACCGGAAGAAAATCACACAAAAGTACCAGAGTGATTGGAGTCAGACATTCCTGTGAATTAAACCTTCAAAAAAGGGGAAATTGTTCGCATACTGTCAGGTATATGACAAAGATTTGTCAATCTAAGGGGGGGTTGCAAC